TCCGACGCTCTTCGGGAGCAGCAATGTCTTATCCAGGAGCCAAAAGTTTCGAAGACACAAAGTAATTTCCTATCATTGTCCACCTTCTAGACATACCACATGAAATCATGCCCATCCGATTTAACACAGTCCAAGTAAAGCGCAAAGTTTCCCAAATAGCAACGAACCTTCCGTTTTTTCAGTCTATTCTGGTCAATTGCCAACTTACTTAAGTTTAGAGAGATCAAGAAGTTCGCCTCCTGAATTACACGGTAGACCTCCATAAACCCTCCTTTGACACAAAAAATTACAGCACGATAGACCACAGGGTTTCTGGTAGAAGTTGCTTCATAGGTTTTTGTCCACAATAACCTGAGGTTTGAAGTACGATTTTGCTTGCAACTCCTTGGCAGGTTACCACGGAGTACGCAATCACTGTTCACATCTGTTCTTCGTCTCCACACCTATGGAAGCACATACATACGTAATCAAAACGTGTTTTCGGTCATGTCTTTAGTACGCTGAGGTCTTCGAACAGGAGAATTCATGGTCACACCCCATGAACCGCAAAAAAACCTATCGTTGTCACGGAGCCAGCCGAATGCAATTCATTCCGGTCGCAAGCGGATGTTACATCCAGCAGCACTGAAAACTATTCATTGGTTCGAATGGATGTTGACGGTTGCGGACAGGCAACATCGGGAAGACTTATAACATAATCCGGGGAGGCGGTCCGTTGCATTAAATCAGTTGCTAATAAAAACCTAAGCGAATCAGGCGTACAAATAAGAAGATCTCAAACTGTTCAATGAAAGTAGGGCGTCAAGATTTCGGTAGATTAGTGAATGCAAAACTGTGGGCAGCACACATTTCGATAAGGTCGACCTAAATCGTCAAACCAACCGTTGGGCGCGAACTTCCCCTAGGACTGCCGGATTCAAAGCAAACCCATTGAGATTATCTGGAAAATGGAGGCAGATTATTCGCGCTTACTTTTCTTCACTTCGAATGGTGCTTGAGAGAGGAAAAGTCGTTTCCGTAAATGATGTTTCCGGCACCACTTTTGGTTAAGGTTGTACGGCAGTGAAGCATCGGTGTTGAACACTGATGATGTCATGCTGTCGATGATGATGATGATGATGACGATGATGATGATGGTGATGATAATGATAATGATGACAACGATGATGAGGATGATGATGATGATGATGATGATGATGATGATGATTTGGTAGAGTTTGGAGTCGAGAGCAGGCGAGCGAAAAATTAGTGCGACTTCTACGGTAGGTGAGCTATGCTTCAGAAAGTGAACCACCGCCTGACAACTGACCGACGACTGTTGACCTTTGAATGTTTATCCAATTATTCATTTGGATTCCTGGACAGTAGCGCCATCCCGAACGAGGGAAAGGTAAAAATGAAAGTTTGGCCAGGCAGTCTAACGATCTGCTCATTTACCTCAAGTTTTATAGAGTGATTTCGGAAGAGTGATTGATAGGAATAGTAACTGAACTGTCCGAGTACATACTCACCAAGCTGTTTGTCCGACAATTGATACACCGGGAAGGCAGAAGTATAAGCCACTGGTATCCTAAACTTTCTGTTGAATCTCACGTGGTGGGCCAACCACTTGTCAACCTAATTTGACTCGCTGAGCACTAGATTTGTCGGTTTCATACTATCAGTGTCGATTTTAACCAGATGATGTTTATTCATAGTTTCAGTCGATTTTGTTCGTTTGCATCTGTCCGAGGTAGTTGAAGAGATATTGAGCAGGCTACATTCACTCGACTGATCACTCGACTTGTCCAAACCGAACGATGGGGTACTTGAGACAGGAAAGTTCTAACATTCTGAAAGGTAAGAGTCTCGCTCTACTCACAAAAATGAGGTGAGAGTACTGTTAAGGTCGTCCTTACTTATCCACGAATCATTGTGAAATTGAAAATTCTGCAACCAAATACAACTAATCAATGGCTAACGAAGGAGTTTCATGTGTCAATGTCACTGCTCAGACTGAAAGGTCCGATATGCGGACTGGCTAATCCACACAGTCTGAACAGTGAATGGATCAATATTCCAGCCATGGGGCAAGCCAATCCAGTCACCGAAGCGTGACTACTGCTCAGGGTGAGTTGGTGCAGTCCTACATGTCAGCTATTCCGACAATGCTAAACAAGTGGACTGAATACGAACGCTGATAATAGTGACACTCGAGACTTGCTTTCGCTTGGACAAAGTATACCTGGCGTATCAGGATAGGAGAGAGGTTGGGCACTATTACAGTCGTGCTAGAATCACTTTAATCCTCTTCTTGCTACTCCTTGGCCTTAATCTAGGTAAAAAGTCTGATCAAGTCAAACACCGGTACCTACTCTCTTCCGAAATCAATCCCATGAATTTCTTCCCGAAAATGCTACTTCAGAAGTGTCTCCATTCTACTGCCAAACCATTTAATGCATCACGTGTTTGATGGTCACGTGTTTAATGCGTCATGATGTATAAAAAACAGGATTCAAAATAATGAACACTTTTATTGGCCTGCTTAGCCGATTGGACTCCGTAGACTCTCTCCATATATTTAGAAATAAAACAGTCACTTAATATGGGCGTCAACTACTCCGAAACGTTATTATCAAAAACTCAAAGTATGGTATTGGCCAAGGAAACAGTGTCGTTCATCAGGTGTGGTACAAGTTAGCACAGATTCTTTCACCTTCCTCCGTGTTCCGTTTTTTATTTTGAAATTGAACGAGAGGGTCAACTAACCAGTCTGAGCCAATCATTAGACAGGTTGATACTGCGCCACGTGTACTGCAAAATGACGTCGGTATACAGGCGCACATTTTCACCAATGATCTCAAAGTGAAACTAGATCCTGTTCACTGTTCACGGGGGCACATGGTCGAGTCGTGGTCAGAAATCCTGAGTGAGAATGCAACCTCTGTTCAAACTCCATTTGGACAAAATGACTAATTAAAAATCGCTTGACTTCAAAAGGAAGGCATACGCAAACGAGAGATTCATTCAGCAGGGTTTCAGGTGAGCTTCTCGCGAAACCAAATTTGTTTTCATATGAATGTATTTCGTTAACCTCTTTCACTTTCGCTCTGCTTATTAGACAATGTTCGGGGTTAAAGATCAGAGGAATTTTAGGGGACCTTGCAAGCAACAGTCAGAACCGTACCCTGTGACAACCATCCAGTTAGAAAACAAGGGCTAGAAGATGAACTTCTCTGTTATACCACATGGATTTGTTCTTCCTTGTTGGAGTAGAAGACAGCCATCAAAGCTTGTTTGACAGATGATCCGCGTGGCAATACATAAGGCGCAACGCAAACAGTTCTGTTTAATCCCTTCTTTCCTAACATTGAAGTTTCAACTGCACTTAGCCAAATTTATGAACACCGAAGGAGGAACTG